ACAAGAAGTGGTGGAGAATCTGCAACATGGACAGCAATAAAAAAACCTGACAGGGCTTCTAGCTTTTTCCCTACTATAACAAAAAAATGATTTGTCTGTTTCTGTAGGAGTACTGGATAGCAGTCTAACTATTAAAAGAAAACCCCATACGCTTGAAGTCTATACACCGGACATACACTTGAAAACCCCCTATAAGCGACATTGCATTTTAAATCAGTCACACATCCTCTTCTAAAACAAAGCTTTCCTATCCCTGGCCTGCCAAGCTCACACAACACGACAAGCTCAATGTATCATTAATAAGGAAGACAACCACATAATTGTTCCATCAAGGAAAAGAAAACCACACATCTATGCAGTTCATTATATTATGGTCTTCATCAAGAGGAGGAAAATTATAACTTGCCTTGTATAAATGTAAAAAGGAATGAAGTCTGTGGACCCAACAGTAGGGTCTTGTTGGCTAAGTAAAAACAAGAAGTCAGGGACAAGCGTCGGGCCAAAGGGGGTGACAAAAAGACAGCCAGCAAAACTTCACCAAAAGCATAACAGAACATTAAAGGGGGACCTATCATTCAGGCGTATGATTCCATAGAAAACATCTCCTTGATCTGAACTTGATGCCGAATCTCTGGCATGGCCCCGACCTCCCACATATACAATGAATGTGCATACTTACTATATTTGTTGGATTCTAGGTGCCATGCCAAAGAGTTCAAGCACCATGCAGCAAGCTGCAGGCTTCTTTGCCAGACAAGAGATGCTTTCCACTGGACTGAGGGCGGGTGCAGACTTGGGTGATCCCAGGAACCGTGTCCCGGGACCACGCGTGTGGTTGATGGTTCACCGATTTCAAATGGGATCGTGTGTGGTTGATGGTTCACGGATTTCAATGGGGTTACATCCGTGCGGCAATCGCTGAAAAAAAAGGTACATGTACCTTTCTTTGCACCATACACATTTTTTTTTTCTTCAACTGCGATCATGCACGATTGCACAGGCGGAATCGCTGCAGAAAACCGGCAATCTTCCTGGCACGCTTGGGGTGCCTTTGGAAAATAATTGCACCGCCAGCGCGATCAGTGGTGGTGTGCGACTCTGTGATCGCGTGGTTTCGTGCACGATTGCTGCGCGGTCACGGATCGCCCAGGTATGGCCTAAATGGTATTTGCATGTACATTTTAGAACCCGCTCTTAGGAACTTGTATTGGCTTAATAATTTATACCCCAGGTTCACTTTGATCTTTTTATAGGTTTATTCAATCTCTACCTAAATTGTTATTAATAGGTAAAAAGGTGTTAGGGGTGTAAAGGGTTCAAACCAAATTTTGCTGGAATTATCACTCTTTTCCCTTTGCATTTCTCCTGCTAGTACTGGGTAGAAAACCCAGCTGTGGTATCTCACAAAGTATGGGAGGTTCAGAAACCCATTAACCCCTTCTAAACCAAGACATTTTAAATTTTAAAAAAAAGGTCTGGTGGGTATATTGATTTCTTCATTGTTTCTAATTTCAATGCAGAAAATCAAGGTGAGAGTTCTGCCACACTTACATTACTGAATTTAACACACTATAAACTAAAAGCAATCTATTTGTAATGTTAACTCTCAGCTTAAAGTAGCATTAAGGTCTGGGCGTTTTTTTACCTTAATGCATTCTCTGCACAGAACTTTTTTCTCCCCCAGTCACCCCCACACTTACCCCTCAGCGATGCTCGTTCCCGCCCCCAGTCCCGAAGTGATCCTCCGTTCACTGTACTTCATGGTTGCGGAGGGAGGATACTGATGGCAGAGGAGCCATAGTCTCCTTCTACCATCAAAGTGTTGGTCAGAGAGAAGGGGCGTAGCCTGCGGACACGAGCACGCACGGGTGCCTCCGTTAGCCGATGGAGGCACCCGTGCAGGGGGCGGGGAAAAGAGCGGTTGGGGGGACCCACTAGAAAACGAGGAATTTAAAACTTTTAAATAAAAAGAAGATTCTTAAAAATACAAATTAATATTGCTTTAATCATTAGGTGAGCCAAAACATGCTACGTGGGTTTAAAAAAATCAGTCTAGGTCCAAAACAAAGAAACACTAAATCAGGGCTGGACATATCCTAGGAGCCAGGTAGCCATTGGGCCTTACAAATTATAGCCGACACCTAACTTTGAGGTTCTCTAGTTGTGGTCAGTGGAACGGACTCCTAAAAAAATCCTGCTGGCTCCTGGATTGGACAGACTGGCTCCTAAATTCCAGATAAAATGAGTCTGCCCTGTATTTAATACTTAACAGCTCTGCACCAACTGAAAATCATGTACCGGCAAGAATAAAATTGTAAAGAGATGCCCTATAGCGAACACATTTCCATTTCAAAGCCAGGATTACATAGGTAAAGTTCCATCACAAACAATACATTTATCACTGGAACCTACATTAAATCAAATATAATGTAGAATATTCAATCACAATATCTAAAATATTACTTGACACGGGATGTGACTGACTTGTAGCCAAATTCTGTAAATCAGGCTTGCAGCTGCACAATTTTGCAAATAACCTACAGCAACAGGTAGCAACCAATGTAACCTTTGTAAATAAGAGGCAATGTTTCTCCTGAATTTAAGATGCTGTGGTAATGTATAGCCCATACTACTAAAGAGCATTCAGTGGGCCGATGTGACACTTATTAAAATGCTATGTGCTCATACGAGCTGTAAATGCCACAGAGATGTTGACAATCTGAGAATTTACCTGGAAAATGACAGTTGGCAGAATATTCTTTCCTTTCAAGCCTTATGGAACACAAATTTCCACTAAAGGTCTGGTTTTTAAAGTTGTGCAGTATGAAGCCCAGCTGCAGAAGATCAAAAACACTGAGGGGTGCATTTATAAAGCAGTAAATAGGACACTCACCAAAAATTTACAGCAGGTGCATCTTCCTGGTGATTGTCGGAAATACAGTGATTTATTAAATGTGCAGTGAGGACCCAATCATACCACATATTTAGCTGAATTGCTTAAAGCCCATCTCTAGGGAAAGGGACTCCTAAATTGCAGCGGGTAACAGATCATTTTTGTTTAGGGGATCTGTGTAAAGGACTTTTACTTACCTGATCAAGCTGACTCCAAGAACGGTGTCCAAAGCCTCTTCCCCCCTCTGCTCCGGCCTGCTGGTGCCATAATGTCTAATGCGGGACCCATAGCGCTTCATTATATGTAAGGATGCTGAGGGACAGTCCACAAGCCAGAGAGTAGGGGAGACAAGGTAAACGCCGACTGCCAGAGGAGTAGGGATCAAGTAAATTAAAAGTCTTTTACACAATACCCCTATGAGCAGTTAACCCTTGCAGTGCAGGGGTAGCTCTGCTGCAAGGGAAGATGGACTCTAAAGCAGGCTTAGCACAATAAGCCACAACTTGCAAAAATATCATTCTGAATATGTGACAGTTACATCACAGCATCAGAATACTTAGAAACAAGGATGCCATTGTAGCAATAACAAAAAACAAAAAAATGATGAGGGGGTTACAAAAGAAAAAAAAACAAATAAACCCCCACACACCAATGTGCCAGCTCTGTTTTTATGTTTACTTGGTTACCTGGCTCCTGGGATTTGTCCACTCATGTGTTGAAAGACTCCCATGCTCAAAAACCCAAACATTTTGTTTTAGAACATCAAAATATGTTGAGAGGGAAAGGGGGAGAAAAAAAAAAAAAAAAAAAATCACACAATTCACATAGCTAGAAAGATGTCGGATGCTATGTGTTCTAGCCCTATTATTCAGGCTGTTTTGCATAACCAACTGAAAAATGTCATATTTGACAGTAAACAGACTAAATGACAACCAATAGCAACAGCAAGTTTAGGCATTAACCACATGATGTTCCCGAATACTTAAGCCAAGATACCACCAAAGCGGTGTCCCCACAGGAAAACTCCACAGGCCCCAGGAGCTTTGTTATTGTGTGCAGTTCTGCTCAGCCAGAAGATAGAGTCGTATCTAATCATATGGGGTTAGCACAGCTTGCACCCATGGGAAGGATTCCTTGGGCACTAGAGGGAGAATGAAAGGACCTGCAGCAGTCAGCTTCCTGCAGCATCTGTCAAAATCTGCACAGGGTACAGGAGGTACACTCCAAATATGATTAAATACAGCTCCAAACATGATGATGTGACTCTGAAGTACACTACAAAACTTCCCTGAATGCTCAGAACTTCAAGACCTTAGTCCAAGTGAATCAACAGTTCCTGTACTTAAGAATATACAAGTGATTATCTCAAATAAGAGCCCAACAAACGAGAATGTAATATTTCAGCAGACATTCAAAATATTACATTTTAAAAAAAGGTTCTCTTAACATGAACGTTTAGCCCAATCCTTTCTAGACAAACGAAAGCGCTTACTCCTACCAGTGCTAAGATTTAACATATCAAGTAAAATCAATATGCACAGTGCCACCAAAATGGTTTTATACATGTCTGTCCTGTGAAACCATATTTAAATCATTCTAAAAAAAAAAAAAATGTTTATGCCAAAAGGCAACTTCCAACAGTTACAAAACAGAACTAGTTCAGGAGTGCACACCTACTGTGTTCTAATTTAGGCACAGCCTTATGACTTTTTGCAGGTATCTTAATCTTGAAAGTTGCAAAACTAAGGACACTGTTGAGGTCACAGTCACATCTGGACTACCGCATGATAACAACATTCATAAATGGACACCATACACCATATATTTGTTCAAACATGGGCTATATTTTATTAAAAAGCAAAACAGTAAAAAAATAATAATCTCCAGCAAGCCTCATAACAAGCACAGTTTAGCCCAGTTAGCAGATAGTTAAAAGTGGAGAGTCAAAGCTCTCCTGTAGTTTCCCAGCCATATGCTGATACCCTTAAGACGCCATGCGGTCCAGCTTTATAAGCTTTCATCTCCAATTCCCTGCTTGAAACACGAACTGCCTGGTAACAATGACTCTCTGTGTGCCGAAAATCCTATTATTGATCCTTCTACTTACCTTGGGCTGTGCTCTTCTGGGAAATGCAACTTTAGGGTCAATCTGAAAGGACGGGACACAGGGAAAGAAAAGCAAAAAAAAAAACACAACAGTAAGTGACTTGCATTCACTTGTTTCCACTTTGAGATTAATGGCTCATATTTAAGGGTGGTATAATGGACATTTATCACTTAAACGTTGGAACGACATTTTTGCGTGCACTGTAATGCTCTGCAGCCCTGACAAAGTCAAAGGGGTTACCAGCCTGCTACAACTGCTACAAAGCTAATGTGCTCGGTTTGTATCTTACAGAAATGACATTGATTTCCTTTATTACAATGTATTGAAAAATTAGAACTGCCGAGCACACAAGAGACCCAGTGATCTCAGTATAACAAAGTGCTACTCTCTCGCTCAGCGTGTTGAACAGATGTTTGAGCCCCACAGCTAAAAACGTAAAGTTATTTGCATGTACTTCATAATGCACCACTCTGCAGAGGGATGTGCAAACAGTTCTGGATAGAAGCAGTCACCCAGCAGATTAATCTGTGCAAAAAAGAAAAAAAAAAACCTCAACCCCTTCACAGCCACAGTCTGAGCGATCTGCAAAGCAACCTGCTGCCGTCTCTACCTAATCACCGATAACGCGTACAAATACAGATGCCAATACCCACTTCAAAATATAAATCTCTTCTGCTAAAAAACGCCACATGTAGTCTATTAGAGTTCAGTAATAAATAAGTGGATTTACCCTGGAGAACGTGAAATAAGCAAATGTTGTGGCTGGCAAGAAGCTATGTGTACGCTTTCAAAATGTTTCTGAGATAAAACACACGAGTCTGAGAAGCTCCACACAAGAATCTGTTGTTGGGGGGTTTTTTTCTACCCTCCATTAACCTGGAAATCACATCTACATCTTTAATAATGCAGCAGCATGGCCGCGCTTTCTAATGTGCTAGCAGAACAAAAGCAACAAGTGAACTAGATGGCTACATGATGGACACCTCTCTCTAGAAAAGACAAAATACTGGGTGAGAAAGCAATGAAAACCTCAAACACAACTTTTTCTGGGGCATCTTTTCATTTCAGACATTCCGCATAGAAGACCTTAGCCCTTTGCTTTATTTAAGAAAAGCGTCTGTGTGCGGCGTGGCACAACACGCGCCCACAAATGATATTTTATTTGAATGACTTCTATAAGCCAATGAATGTTAAAATAAGATTGTCTCAGGTGTAAGAGTCCTACAGTCTGACTGCTCACACAGTTTTAACACTCATCACACCACACATCAGTGAATCAATGTCAATTTGCCCAAAAACCATTTTCTGGCACTCTGTCACAATTTTGAAAAAACGAACACACAATACCTAGAAAACTTTGTGGCAGAGTTAAAACGGAATACTGCAGTTTGATCCCAAAAATAAAATGACCAGGGCCACCCAAGCCATGCTTATTACCACAGGTATTTATATAGCACCAATTTACACAACGCTTTACATACCGCACATTCCCATCAGTCCCTGCCCTGAAGAAGCTTACTATCTAAGGTCCCCATCTCAGATGTGCAGGGCCAGTTTTAGACAGAAGCCAAATTAACCTTCCAGCACTAAGGAATTTATCGGTTTCCGATCTGACAGCATTTAAAACAGAAATCTGACAGGTTGCTATAGGCAATTGAATGCTTTCAGTGCTTTAAATAAAACCTTTAAATAAAAAGCTCAGATGTCATGCAGTCCCAAGGACCTACCGTGTTATGTTCAACCTTACATATGAGCCATTAGTCTACACTTTTTTTATCATGAGACAAACAGTAAGATAACATTGGTAAATCCTTCCCACAACAGTATTAAAATATCAGAAATATATAAAACAAAAAGGGGATGCAACAAGTGAGATATTTGCATGCAGGCAAGCGAGAAGTGATGTCTACATGTAAAATTTGGACATCCTAGAATTTCACAATATTAGGACTAATCATTTCCAATGTAACATTGTTTTTTTTTTTTTATAATGCTACCTAATGAATCGTTAGTAGTCACAATCCCAAGATGCTTTAGCTTATTTTTCTAGAACTATGTAACACCCTTTCAGCTTGCATGGAAATTACTCACCTCTTGCACCCCCACTACTATTACATTCAATAATCATCTACCAAGAAATAAAACGAGTTAGTCAGAGACGAATTCTACTTACTGTAGCTACAAATCCTCTAGGAAAAAAAGGACTATGACACTATTTCTGAGGTTTGTGGGCCATTACCTAAAATCAAAGCTTTTAACGCAAGCGTAAACAAGAGCGGTGACTCCGAGCCAAAGCCCAACCGAGCTGCCTCCTGCACTGAATGTTGAAACACGAGTCAAAAGACTAGATAAAGCTGCATTAACAATAATCAAGAACGTGGTGACAAATACAAACATGCTATTAGCTTTTGCAGCCCATTCTGCTTCGCTTTACACTCCTGAGGATGTGGTCTCTGATCCTCAACCTGGGCCTAATACTTAAAACCTTTTACCTACCCAAAAATTACCTTTAAACAATATTAACTAGAATTAATGTCTGTAACCTTTTATAGAAACATATCATCTATGCCCTTCTGAGACTAAGCCATTCATATTTGTCAAAAAACATAACATTATCACGAAATAAAAAAAAAAAGTACAAGAACTACACAAGAACAAGCAAGCAACAAAAAGGAGTAAGTGTAAAAAACATAATTAGCACACTTAGAGCTTAATGCAACTTTGTATCCTCAAAAACCACATAAGAGGAGTCTTTAGCTATTTTAATTAAATCTAAACTAGCTACACTGTATACAATGTATGTATGTGTGTGCATATTAAATGGTAAATGGATATACAAATGTATCCATACCATACATACATGCATTCTTTACAGTCCTATGCATATTATTTTCCAAGCTTGTCCCTGTGCTCAGGTTCTATTTTATATCTAGGACAAAGCTCGCTGAATGAACATACAGTTAAAATTGTGACATTTACCAGTTGTTAAAAAAAATCCTTTATCTAATCAGTGTAATTAGCTCACCTTTCCCTCCTCATTAAGCACGATACCAGCAATACAGTGGGATCTTTTGTCAGCGTCCCTTTTCCAAGCTTTGTGAAAGCATAATTAAACTGGGTAATAAGGTGCAAAAAAGAAAGGCTGCGTGTGTTTTTTTTCCCCCTTTGCTTTGTAAACACAGGAAAACAGAAATGAGATGCACTGACAGCACTGGCTGATCAGCCATAGCCACTGAAAGCTAAGCTCATGCAAATTTAAGTCTAGAAGTTGGTGCTAACAGCAAAACAAACATGTTAAAAGTAAATACTAAATGTTCCTAACGCAGTGTCCTAACAGGTCTACCACCCTGAAACTGACATCAGGATATTCTATTGACTACAGACACTTGAAGCAGCTAAACATCACTGATGTCTAGCAGAAATAATTATGACCGAAAAGCAGCAGCCATGCCCAGCTGGTGGTAAATGAAGGGGGGGGGGGGGGGGGCAAGGTCTACAGGTAAAACCTTAGCTAACCCTTAAAGTTGCCTGGCAAAGACAAAAAAAAACTGCACAAGGACACACACACACACGTCAACGAAAATAGAACTGAATTTGAAAAATAAAGCACAACATACCGTCTTGGAATCTAATTCATGGTGGGGTTGAGCTAATACTTTATCTACACTTGCAGGATCTGCAAACGTAACAAAGCCGAAGCCTCTGAAATCAGACAAAGAACAAGAGAAAAGACAATGAGTGCTAAACATGAAGCACAGGTACAACGTAAAAATTAAAAACAACACACTTATCAACAAAATAATAAAAATTTAAAAAAGCACACATTGGGGTGAATGGCTAGACACCCTCTTGTGTCCTCAAAGCAGCAGTCAATAACTTGGCATTGGAACAGAGAATGCCAGCTGTATATGACAACAGTACAAATATTGGTGAAGTTGTTTTCTTCTCTTACAACTACTTGTTAGTGAAATCTTAAATATTTGAGTAAGTAAGGAGGTTGTGGGCTAGTAAAATGATAAAGTGACCTGGATACCGTGTCATGGACACTAGTTAAACATGCGTGGGACAATAATACACATCAGCACTTTGTGTCACACCACAGCCATGACTTCCAGTTTGACGTTGTGGCCAGAGAGGAGAGTAGTAATAAAACTAAGGGTGCTACTTGATTGACACCTCCCAGGAAAAATCAGAGCTTAGCACCTCATCAATACTGGCGAGCAGACGATGCAATTTGATTTTTTTTTTTTATTCTTTGAAGCGTTAAACTAAGTCTCAGCGTGCTCAGCCAGAGACAAGTGAGACAAGGGGGTGTGTGCCTGCACAGACTGAGATTGCATCTTTCCCTTTAGGCCACTCGTCCAGAGGACATATGTTCTACAGAAAGAAGTTTCCCAAATAAAAAAAAAGCATCCATGCAGATTTACCTGGAGCGTTTCGTGGTGGGGTCCCTCATCACCATGCATTCTCGGATTTCTCCAAATTTGCTAAAATAGTCTCTGAGGCTATCTGTGCACAAGCATATGACATGACAGCTTATAAGCAATATGCTAGGAAAAGGTTAGAGCAAAAAACACACAGCCCGCTTCCCCCACCCACCATTAACCCACCCCATCCATCCCACGGTAAAAGAGCCCCAAATAGCGATAGGGGTCGAATAGAGGACTCGGAAAGCAGAAATAAATAAATAAGGAGACAGAAGTGGGAGGCTGGAGAGGAGACTGAGAACAGGGAGCTGTGGAACAAAGAGCCAGGAAAGGGGGGGCAAGGGGGGAAAGAGATGAGTGCCTGCTTACCTGGGGAGGTCTGCCAGCTCAGGCCGCCGATAAACATTTTACTAGAAGGGGAGGAAAACAGAACACAAGTGAGCACAGATGTCAGATCGGCCATTTTGACGTGTAACTTACAAAAGCTAAAAGCGAGGAGAGAGAGGAGGATAGAGACACGGGAGAGGGTGATGTGCTGCTGCACAGACAGATGACAGGGAGGGGGGGCATCAAACACTGAAGGTGGAAGTAAACAATCGGGAAGGGTAAACAGTACAAGGGATGCGATGACAGCCCTCCTCCTCCCCCCTACACTTGCCCTTCGGAGGAGAGGGGATGCTGCAAACAGAAAACTTACCCGGGGTCGTGCTGAGAATCGTTCGGACTCCCAGAGGTGCCTTGGCTCCCATCTGCCTCCATGTCCCCTTTAAACAGTTTTTGTAAAAAAAAAAACTAACTCTATTTACCCCCAAAAAATTGGTAAACGTATAAAAAAATAAACCCAAAGCGATACAAAATTGAAATCCACGCGAGGCTGAAACTCTTGTCAGGGAAGACTGTCAGTAGCCCTGCTCACACACATAGGCACACACACACACACGGTGACAGCCTGTCCTCACTCCTGCACTGGGACTGTGTATATGTGTGTGTGAGTGTGTGTGTGTGTGTGTGTCTCTCTCAGTCACACAGGGAGAGAGGCAGCAGCTAAGCAAGGAGCCGCTAAGAGAATATTATTGAGCCGGGAAGAAGCTCGTCACACGTGGGATCAGCTCAGCATTACTCCGCCTCCTCACCGCCCCCTAGCCGAGGCCCCGCCTCCTCTCCCAGCACGACAGCCGTGGGAGGGCCCCTCTGCGGTGACGTCACGGTCCCTTCCTACCTGCTTGCCTGATGTCGTGCGGGACGGAGCGTCCTTGGCGTCCCTTTAGACGTGTGCGCTCCTTCACACGAGCCGGCTGCGTGGAGGAGAAATTGTCTGGGAACTATAAGCAGACTTTGTGCTTCCCAGGGCAAGTTCTCCTGCATTTGTTCCATTCACACTTAGGGCCCATTCACACCATGTCCAGATCATCTCCAGACCAGATTGACCCAAAATGCATCCTAATGTATCCCTATGCTATGTCTGGCCTCTGTTCACACCAGCGCAGTCTGTTCCAGAACAGACACACTGGAACGCACCTGTAAAACCATTTTAAGCAAACAAACAAAAATTCCAAACGCAGCAAAACGAAATGCAGATCTGCTCCGGAAAATGGTGGGAACCTGCCCTTAGGCTCCAATCACACAGGAGCGTTTGTCCGGAGCTAAGCACCTTACCTTTGCACCTTAGCTGCTCTAAACATAAAAAACAATGCACTTTAATGTGCATTTTTCAGACTTTTGCAGCAGCTTCGCAAAATAGTCCAAGCTCGATTATTTGACGGATTCCGCACATTCGCCGCTATAGTAATAGCCGCAAACGAGCGAAATCCTTGCGGATAAAAGATTTTAATGCTTGCGTGGAGCACAGGAAACGCAAACGCTATATGTAAATAGAGCCTTAGAAATTGTTCACACCATGTCCAGACCAGAACAGTTTGTTCCTGGACCAGAAAAGCATCTCAATATGTCCCTATAGTATTTCTGTGCTCTGTTCATACCAGCGCAGCCCGTTCCGGTCCTGACAACAAAAAATACTGCTCGTCTCATTTTCTCTGGTCTGGAATTTATAGAAACGCATCAAAAACACATACAAACGCACTGGGCTGCACCTCAAAACCCATTTTTCGGCTTGTTCACACCATATAAAGTGCGTTTCAGCACGGTTAACTGATGGAACACATTCTATCACATAGTAAACTCCCCCCTGCGTTCTGGGACAGGAGGGGGCGTGGTAATGGCACCGCAGCCACGCTCCCCTGGCTGCAGTGCGACAGCCTACACCATAACATAGGGACAACAGTGCCTGCATTCCGGTCCAGTGCGAGCGGAAAAAATAGTGCTTGTAGCATTTTTTCTGGTCGCACTGGACCAAAATGCAGGCATTGATGTGCCACGCGTTCTGAAGCAGGTGATCGCACTGCAAACGGGGGGCGTGGCTGCGGTGCCATTGACTTCAATGCACCGGCACGCACCCCTCCCGTCCCAGAACACGGGGGGAGTTCATTATGCGATGCATGCGATAGTAAAGCATTTTTACATGCATTGTCAGCTGGTAGATTGTGCTTGTGTGACATAATGCAGAAAAAAGCACAGCGCCACATGTTTACATATATTTCCATTGAAATCTTTGAAGGCAAAAGTGCAGAAATCTGCAAAAAGTAGCTCATGTACTTTTTGCAGTGTATTGCTACAAGCAACAGAATGCTCCAGTATGAACAGGGGCCATAGAAAACAATGGGATTCCATTTGTTAAGTGTTTTCTAGCTCCGAGGCCTCATTCACACTTGCGACGCACATGTGCCGTGCGTTAGCCAATCCATTTCAATAGGGTGTCCAACAAACACAGCAAAGAAGCTCATGCGGCAATAGGAGCCAGTGGCATCACAAGGGGGGTGCGGGAGGTGCGTCCCGCACCCAGGTCACACCATAGGAGGGCTGACACTAAAATGACTGTCAGTCATTTTGGTGTCACCCCCTCTGAAAAGTCGGGCACTCGGTCATGGACCGAGAGGCCGACAGTTGCAGGAGAGAGAGGAGGGGACCCGGCGGCATACCTTATCCCGCCGGGTGAATATCCCCTCCTCTCTCTGGCAGCGTCCATCACAAAAATGGCTGCCGGCAAGTATCAAAAAGATGACCGCGCATGCGGTGACGTCACTGTGGGGTGTCACCCCGTATCTGCTCCGGGTGACACCTGGCCTCGGGACGCCCCTGATTGGAGCTGTGAGCTTTTTGTGTTTTTTGACGAAGCATTTTTGCATGTTTGTCACACATGAATAAGAGGGTAAAACCGTAAATTTTTACTGCAGAATTTGGGGTGCCATTAAAAGAGAACTATGGCAAACCTTTGTTTTTACCATAGTTTTCTTTAGAGTCACAGGAGGACATTTACGAATGTCCGCCTGTGTCCAAAAACTCAGCATATAGCGGGCTAATGCTCACTGTATGCTGACAGCGCAGAGCTGCACTGCAGCCGGGACGGATCCAGAAAATGTTGTATGGATCCACCCCATTGCCTGATTGACAGCTGGCTCTGCCTCTCCAGAGCCAGCTGTGCTGCCCCCTTCCCCATCCTTCCATCCAGTCGGCGGTGGAGGAACGGAGAGAGGAATCCCTGCAGGGAGCCGTAACTGACAGTCTCCATAGACTATGAAATGGGAGTGCGTAAACACACACCATTATAGTCTATGGGGCCAAAATGCATGATTCTGCCCTCAAAAAAGCTGTATGTTTTCAAGCCTCGCATGACTGGAAACAAGAGGCAGGACATTCAGGTGTGAATAGGAGACGTTGAAAACAATGGGATTGCTTTTGTTGAACGTTGGCGTGCTACAAAATGACTAGTTGTGAATAAGCTACAACAAAAACAAGAAATACCGGGGTTTATGAGAGATATGACACCATGGCTTGAAGTTTGATAGAAAAAACAAGTTATTTTTATTTTTACATATTTTTAGATAACATATGTGTTGCAAATGTACATACAAAGTAAAAAAAAAAAAGGGGCAACAAGCAGGTTGCAACCAATTTTAAAAAACAATGTTTAAACCGAGATCATATACCCATTAGGCATATTTAGACAGAACCATTAGAAATCAATACATTGTGTATGTCCAACCCCTACGCGTTTTGCTACTTGGCTTCTTCAGGGGATTGTGACCTACCCACCCAGTTGGAGTGGTTTTATGAAGGTTGAACTCTCTGTATGGATTGTGGGCGGGGATACAAATCCTCCGGCTGAAAAATCCCGTTCAGTTTTATGTTTTTTCTTTCTATGTCCCAGGTAGACCTCGGGGCCGCAGTAGGAGGGAGGGACTGCACGTCCAAGTAGGAGGATGGGGCTGCCTATATCTGTCTTGTAGTGTTCTTGTGCTCCAACATCCACAAACCTTGCATCTGCTGTTTATGAGGTCAGACATCTCAACTCTCCCGGAAGCTCCGGGAGTCTCCCGCTATTAGATAGCGGCTCCCGGCTGCCCGGGAGAAAAACATTTTCTCCCGGAAAGGTTTAATCTGCTCTATCAAGCAGATTAAACCTTTCCCTGCGATCGTTTATTTTTTTTCTTTTCTGACATCGGGAGCCGCGGCCCGACCGTCAGTCAGAAAAGAAAAAAAAAAGCATACGATTGCATAGCTAGATTCCTATTGGCTATTGCACTTTGCAATAGCCAATAGCAAACTAGGTAATGCACCCGCCCACTGCTGCTGTCAATCAGCAGAGGGGGACCTGAATTTTTCTATCAGGTCCTCTTCTGCTGATTGAAAGCAGCAGTGGGCGGGTGCATTACCTAGTTTCCTATTGGCTATTGCAAAGTGCAATAGCCAATAGGAATCTAGCTATGCAATCGTATGCCTTTTTTTTTTTAATTCTGACGACTGCAACTGTCAGAATAAAAAAAAAAAAAAGAAAGCCTGCAGATAGCAAAGAAGCTATTGCTTCCTGTGCTATCTGCCATCATTTCAGGGGGGTGCTCTCTCCCAGCCCCCCCTAACCTCTCCTCCGTGGATGGGGGGGGGGGAGAGCACCCCCCGGAAATGAGAGGGACACCTCCCTGAAAGTGCTTCTTTCAGGTTGGGATCCCTGTGAGGTAAAGGGTTGTAGTAAAGGTCAAGGATTCAATCCGTCACAGCCACCTTGCTGTCTCCCACCCGTGGGCTGACATCCCCGGCTCCTATGCCAACAGGAGTCCAACAAGATTTGAAAACAACAGTCCAATGGCTAAATGAGAGTGCTTAACCTTGTGTTACAACATTTTCTGCATGCAGCTGACATAACATTATGTATTTCTCTCAAGGGCCCTCATGGGGGAAAAGCCTGAATTACTTCAAAAGGCACCAAGTTGTAGTGGACCCCGAGCCTCAGTCTCCGTCAGTCACCCTCTCCTTACTGCTAGTTACTTAATTATACATTCTCTGCACTTTCTCTATTTCTACTGACATCCCCTTTTTTGTGCTGATACCTATTTTTCCTCTAGACAGGTCCTCCTTATAATGCTGGAGGCATAAAGGAAGTCTATACAAATGGTAAAAGCATAAAAAGTCAAGTATTTTAAATGTTTTCTCAAAGCATTTTCCTTTCCTGAAAGTTGGTACATTTTTGCCCTGATGTGCATAGGATACTTGCCCATTTGGACCCACTTACCTTACAAGTGTGTCCTTCTCCAGTGCTGTTGGATCCATTTTTGCTTATAAGGACTCTCCTCCGCTGCCATCTCCGCCGCCACAACATCCAGATTCTCAAAAGTCCTCTTCGGCCATTAGGTGGCCTCTGATGATGTAACTCCTGCACACGCACACAGGAGTTACATCTTCCCCGACACCCGGCCCACTCATGGCATCTTATAGATACCGTGGATGAGCCGAGTGTGTACTCCGTATGATGCATGTGCCATAAGCTGTACAGAGAAAATAAAAAAAATTGCTGGGAGAGAGAAGAATTTTTATGCAGAAGAGATTTTGCGTGTCTGTTCTGCCAAAAATGCTACCTCCCAGCAATGTTTTATTTTCCTGACTGTACTGCCACTTTAAATTATTTATTATTGACTTGCAATGTGCCCTTAAAAATGGTTAGAAAATCTGACTATTGTGGGACGTGTCAATTCACTATCACAACCCCC